ACAGCAATAACCCTGATTAAACAAACAGAAAAATCCTGAACAAATTACTATAGGACAAATTTTCAGCAGCACACTGAAAATAATCACATAGCATGATGAAATGGGAATGATTTCTGGAATGCAAGGTGGCTCACATCTGTATCCCCAGCACTCTGAGAGGCCAAGTTGGGTGTACTGCTTGAGCTCAGGAGTTCCAGACCAGCCTGAGCAAAAGTGAGTCACCATCTCTACTAAAAATAGAAAAATTATCTGGATGTAGTGGCAGGTGAAGTTTCCAGCTACTCCAGAGACTGAGACAAGTGAATGGTTTGAGATAGGAGTTTGAGGTTGCTGTGAACAAGGTTGATGCCACTGCACTCTAGCCTAGGCAACAAAGCGAGACACTGCTTCAAATAAAAATATTAAATTACTACATAAAAGATGTTGTAGTCTCCAGAGGTTTTAAAGAAATGCTTGCTTGATAAAAGTTCTGTAGTAAACAAAGAGATCTCACAACATATATTAGTCAGTGGACATTCTCTGATACAGCAGCTCCATGCACTCCAGATAGGAAACAAAGACAAAGAAAAGCATATACAGTAGTAAAAGAGATGATTAAATATAGAAAAAACGGCTTCATTTATAATACATAATGTACAAGAGGAGAGTAGTGGTGTCTGTAACAAATGAGAAAGGACCAGGAAGGACTCCCATCATTCCAGTGAACAAGGCTCCCAATGTGAAACTGGGGATCCTATGCTGGACCTGTCTGCCCACTGACTTTTCCCTGTGCTAAGAAATAATCTCAAAAGAGCCAATCTAGTTCCCTCTTACACAACAGAAGGTATGGATAAAGCGGAACTGAAGGCTGGACCCTATGGCTCTTGCCTGTAATCCTTGCACTGTGGGAGCCTGAGGCAGGTGGATTGCTTGAGCTCAGGAATTCCAGACCAGCCTGAGCAAGAGGGAGACCCCATCTCTCATAGAAAGAGGAAAACTACCCTGATGTTGTGGTAGGTACCTATAGTTCCAGCCACTTGGGAGGCTGAGGCAAGAGAATCTCTTAAGCCCAAGAGTTTGAGGTTGCTGTGAGCTATGATGTGACAGCACTCTATCTAAGGGACAGAGTGAGACTCTATTTCAAAAAAAAAGCAGAAATGAAGAGTGGCTCAAAGACTTGTGAAATAAGAACCATATATACTGGTCGCTTCCCAGCTTCCTCACAGAGGGTCCTAACACTTTGGAATTTCCTGAGTGGCAGTATTGGGATATGTTTTAGTGAGGCTACCTTTATGATGTCATGCATAAGTGCTGGTCACCAGAAGCACACAGATATGATTAGAAGCCTGAAACTTTCAGCCTCAACCAACATCCTCCAGGAAGGGGAGAGGGCTGGATCCTGAGTGAACATCAGTCATGCCCACGTGATGACACTTCCATAAGAATCCCTTCCATCCCAGGGTTAGGAGAAATTTCAAATACTGAACACATGGATGTGCGTGACGGTGGGTCACCAAGTAAAGCTTTAACAAGCCTTGGCCTATGAGTTTCTTCATCTGGCTGTTCATCTGTATCCCCCTCAAATGTCCCTTATAATGAATCACAGGCACAGAAAGTATGTTGCTGAGGGCTGTAAGCTAGCCCAGCAAATATACCTTGAGCAGGGCTTCAAGGCACCTCTAACTTACAGTTAGCTGGTCAGAAAAACAGGTGACAACCTACTACTTATGAGTGGAGTATGAGGTGGTGAGCAGGCTTGGGGTCACAGCCCCCATCCAGTGGGATCTGACTCTAACTCCAGGTAGACAGGGTCAGAAATGAAGTACAGGAAACCCTTTGATGGCCACCAAAAACTGATTGTTGGTGGAGAGAAACCCAACACATTTTGCTGATCAGAAGAGAGACATTGTGTGTTGAGTGGCAGGGGAGAACAGGAAAATCACTTTGGCTTTCTTTTATCTCAAACTGAGCTGATCAAGCAGAAAGGGCTGCAGACAGCTATGTGCTGTTTCCTAGCCCCAGATGCAAAGAAAGTGTTTTCTTTCCCATGTCCTGATTAGGTCTTCCAGTACAGGAAATGGGATGTAACCTGAAGAGGTCAAGGCAGTAGGTCTTTGGTAGCCTTAGCTATGACCTCTATGGACCGAGAACTGAGCACCAGATGGAAACAAGTATAGGACACACCACAGCGGAAAGAGACCCCTTGGAAACGGCCCTCGCTGTGTCACACACAGACAGAGGATCACAGCATTTACAGAGGTTTTGTTTAATAAAATAAAAAATTTGCCTTGGTCTCAGTTTGACCTGCAGCACCACTAGAGAAAAATAAACTATTCCATGTCTAAGGAACAGAGTGGTAAGCTGAGACAAAGATTCCTGCCTAGAGCTCATAGTAATCTTTTTTTTTTTGAGACAGAGTCTCAAGCTATCACCCTGGGTAGAGTGCCGTGGTGTCACAGCTCACAGCAACCTAAACTCTTGGGCTTGAGCAATTCTCTTGCCTCAGCCTCCCAAGCAGCTGAGACTACAGGCGCCTGCCACAATGCCCGGCTATTTTTTGGTTGTAGTTGTCATTGTTGTTTAGCTGGCCTGGGCTGGGCTGGAACCCACCAACCCCAATATACGTGGCCAGCACCCTAACCACTGAACTGTGGGTGCACAGCCAATAGTTAATCTTTTGTTCAACCACAGAAACCCCACTTGAAGACTTTCCCACATAATGTTTACTAGTGTGGCTTCCACTGTGCCTACCTGTGTTCTTACCTGAGTGCACATCTTTGATCCATTCACCCTGGATTGAATTTGTGGCTGTTTTCACTTCATGCTCCACAGACCAGGGCTCATTCCCTTCCTCCCAAATGGAGTGAACAGTCAGGTCAGGAAAGAAGATTCCTGCTGTTACAAAAACAAGTAATTGGCTCGGCCCCTGTGGCTCAAGTGGCTAAGGTGCCAGCCACATATACCTAAGGTGGCAGGTTCAAATCCAGCCCGGCCTGCCAAACAACAATGATGGCTGCAACCAAAAAACAGCCGGGTGTTGTGGCGGGCACCTGTGGTCCCAGCTACTTGGGAAGCTGAGGCAGGAGACTGGCTTGAGCCCAGGAGTTGGAGGTTGCTGTGAGCTGTGATGCCACAGCACTTTACCCAGGGGGACAGCTTGAGGCTCTGTCTCAAAAAATAAAAAATAAAATAAAATAAAAATAAATAAAAATAAAAAAAAAACAAAAACAAGTAATCAAGGCTCTAGCTCATGGGTCAGGGTGCTGGCCACATACATAGGGGCAGGCAGTTTCAAACCAGGCTGGGGCCTGATAAACAATGACAACTACAACAACAAAAAAAATACCTAGGCGTGGCTTGACACTTGTGGCTCAAGTGGCTAAGGCTAAGCTTTACACTGAGCTGGTGGGTTCAAATCCAGCCCGGGCCTGCCAGAAACAATGACGGCTGGCTCGGCGCCTGTGGCTCAAGTGGCTAAGGCG